ATTTCATACATCATTGTTATTATTATTATTATTATTTCCTAATTTCATACATCATTATTATTATTATTTAATCCTCTAGTTGATTTCTTCATATTAGCACAGTAATTTAGAGAATTTACATGTCCAATATTTAAATGCTACTCTTTTCATTGTTAACACAATAGTTTAAAGAATATGAAATATGATTTGGCCATCGAATTCTGACATTAATTTCAATTTTGTGAGATGTTAAAGATAAAATTCTTATACTTATTGTGATATATATATATATATATTTAACTATATAATATTCTTATACTCGTTATGATTAATATAAAAAATATTTATATGTATGTAATTTATTATATATAAACTAATTAAATATAATTAATCCGCATAATATACGGCTATGTATATTAATTGAAAAAATTTATAAATATTTGTGCGTATGTGTTATATATATAGAGAATGGGGTCCAAGAAAGGAGTACGCGAGAGAGAAATACGCAGAGAGAGAGAGAGAGAGAAAGAAACGCAAGAAAGACGAAAACAAGAAGATTCGAAGCAGATTTGTGAGAGTTCACGAGTTGAGAGTGGTGATGGACGTCGAAAGGATTGGTTTCCATTTTACGCCGAGCGATGAAGAGCTGTTTCAGATTCTTGCAATGGAGCTGAGAGGAGAGTATGAAGTGGGTGCAGTGATTGAGGCTGATCCGTATGAGAAAGAGCCATGGCTGGTGTTCGACAAGAATGAACCGACCACGTTTTATGTGTTTACAAGTCTGAAGAAGAAAAGCCGATCAAGAATGGAGAGAAAGGTCGGTTGCGGTACATGGAAAATGGAGAGATCCGCGGAGGTCGTCGACTGGGAGGAAAACGTTATAGGGTTCAAGAAGATGCTTACGTTTGAGGAGAAGAAGAAGAACACAGAGAATGGTCGGTGGATCATGCACGAGTATTCCCTACGGGACGTGAGTATTCTCTCTTGCTTTCTTTCTTGCTTTCTTTCTTTCTTTCTCTCCTATCAGTTTGTTTGACGTGTGTGTGTGTGTATATATGTATATATCCTTTCTTTACTTTCTTTATATGGGTTCTTCCATGTACGTAGTCGTCGGAGTTTAATTTTTCTTCTACACTATACTATATTCATGAAGTGCATGGAATATATATAGAAATTCTGAGTTGTATTGCAGTAGAACCTCATTATCTGTTCCTTACACCTTTCTACGTGATGTTCGCTGTGCACCATCTAGCCAGCCAAATATATATATATATATATATATATTCTTACAAATGAATTTTTGCGTTGAGGTTATTCGTGACGAAGAAAGAAGCCACAAAGATTTTATCTTCATCGTTATCATTAGTTGGAGCTTTTATGGGGACTATCAGAAACTCGCAGAGTCAAAATTAGTGTACTACAACCATATATTCATCATCTTATGGATTCCACCTCCATAAGCTTCGATTCATTTATTTGCAAGTCTCTGCGGGAGGGTTTAAGTTTTCTTTATGATTAATGTTAGAAGGAAGTCCAAATCTTTTTCACAGGGAGTGAAATTTTGTATATACATATAGACACTACTGTACTAATATGCGGATATTTGCTTGTTTGCTTCAATCTCAATTTTCTATCTTGATTACTTTATAATTTACATCTAGAATTATTTTCGGTTTTTTTTTAAAGTAAAACTAATATGTATTTTTATTTAATTTGTACAGTTTGACGATTATGTACTCTGCAAAATTAGAAACAAAAGTATAGATAAACTTCAACAACCAACAAAAATTAAATTGGCATATCATCAACAAGATAACAGCAACAACACTTACAAAAGAAAATTGAGCGCTGATACAGAAGACCATAATCAAAATAAAATCCAGTGTATCAATTCATCATTTGTAATGTCTACTACTGGTGATGTAAGAATCGTTGAGGAGATGATCATTACTGCACCATTGGCAGCAGGAGACATCAATCCATTTACCGCTGCTGCTCTATTGGCAACGGAGTATAATAACAGAGAATTGGTTGAGGAGATGACAGTTGTTGAACCCTTGGCGTCAGAAGACATCAATTCATTGGCCACTGTTGCACCATTGACAACAGAGTACAATGATAGAGAAGTAGTTGAGGAGATGACCATTACAGCACCCTTGGTGGCGAGGGATATCAATCCATTGGCCACTGCTATACCCTTGGCGGCGGAGTATAATGATGGAGAAATAGCTGAAGAGATGACCGTTGCTGCACCATTGCAGGATGAGGTTGAGCAGAATGACAATCTCGTATTTGATATAGATGAATTGTGGAAGGAGATTGGTCGGAAAGACAACCT